AAAAAAAAAAAAAAAAAAAAAAAAAAAAGGGAACTTTGTTTTCATCGTTGGAAATTTTGGTTAATAGAAAAGTTGCATATTTCTTTTTGTTTAGACGGGCAGTGGTTGACAAATCAGTGGTAATTGGTGTTACATCTCACCAACTCCCCAAGACAGATTGACACAGTACAATAGCCCTGCTGTAGCAGCCATCTGTGACCATAAAGTCTCAACTGTTTTTTTTGAAAATAGGTAATGGAAATGTCGCAATCATTTTGATTTGACCCTCCACATTCTCCTATTTCTTTACACGAGATGTGGGAGTTATAACTTTCTCGGCTTTTCGTCAAAATTAAATGCAGTACGCGAGGCCTTAGAGTTGAATCATTCCTTCATTTCTTAATCATCATTTTCATTTTCATCCAACCTTGAATTCTTCCTCTCAAAGTTAATTACTAAAAGCAATAATCTAAGCAAGACTTGTGAGTCATGACCGTCGTTACAGGATAACGACTCCCCATCTTACATATTGGTTTTGGACGAAATTATTAAGGTGATAAGTTTGAATATGTAATCAAATTTAATAAAATATTCAAATTTAAAGTCTTAGATAATGTGATTGCATGAAATCGAAGGAACTCTTTAACTACAAACATAAAGTGATTATTAATAAGAATTTGATTAAATTAATATTTATTAATTTAAAATTTTTAATTAAAATTAAAGTAAAAAATTCAAATATTTATGAAGTTAATTTCTCTTCTTTTTTTTTTAATAATTAAGGTCAGGGTGTTCTTCATTTTGCTTTTAGTTAACTTCTTTAATTATAAGATATATACGTCCTAGGTATAGTTGGAGTAAACTACTGTGGCTCTAACAAATAATAATTATGATTGACTTTATTTGTTTAAGAGAGACTAAGTATTCACTTATTTTGTTATTATATAGCTGTTACAAGACAGTATTACAAGACGTGTAAATCAAAAAATGAAAATGTACCAACATTTTCTTGTTTTTATTTGTTGCAATCAAGCCAATTACATAAAGAAGTTGATTGAGAAAGGCAATAAGAAAAGCTAGCCCACCCAAGGAAGAAGGAACTCTCTTGGAGAAGCTGGGAATTTTTTATGCTCTATATAGCAGGGCTCAGAGTCTCATGGGCTCGTTACAAGTTAAACGGGCCTAAAAACTAACCCAATAACAATGAGAAAAACCCTTATCATCGGGTGCAGGGTAGCAAGGTTGCCGACGCCGCCGTAAACCAGACGCAGGAGTATCCCAACCTCTAAACCTTACTGTTGCCGAACTCTCGCTATGTCGTCAGTGCCCGTTGTTGAGGCCGCCGAGCCTGAGACCGAGGAGGTTGTTTCCGCTGAGAAGCCTCAGAAGAAGCCCCAGGTGTTCTATCTACGATTACGATTCTTCATTTTCTTTCGATTTCTTTGGTTTGTTTGTTTTTTTTTTTTTTCCCCTTATTCTTTTTGTTGACCTGCAGAACGAAGAGGAAGCTATTGTTGAGGACGTGAAGGAGGATGAGAAAGAAGACGCCGACGACGACGACGACGACGACGATGACGAGGAGGATGACAAGGACGATGGCGCCCAAGGTCCTTCGTTTTTCTTTTCCCCTTGTACCCACTTTTTTTTTTTTATTTATATTTTATATTATAGATTTAGTTTCTAAATCTGGCTTTTCTTGTAAGTGTCTTGTGTTACTGGATATAAACTTAAATTCCATTTTGGCGTATGAATTTTCAGTTTTTCCTTCTGATTTAAGGTCTCTTAATTTGGGGTCTGTTTGGATTGCATTAAATTTATAATTGGTTCACGACTCCACTGGATGTGTTAAGTGAACTCTTCCTAAAGTTTGGCCCATTTTTTTACTTATCTATTATAAATCTTTCAAAAGACCACCTTTTTTGATTGATGTGTGGTAGAACATAGAATTCGATTTTGGATGGAGGGCCCTATTGAGCTGTTATGGGTGTTGTGTGCATCTTTGGAATTAGAAGGACTATACAGGCTTTTATGTTGCAGTTCCATTTTTCAGGATAGCATTGAATTTGCCCAAATTTTCTATGTCCATGCAATCACTTGCCTTTTCTGTTTCTTGTTTACTTGTGTTTTCTGTTTACCTACTGTTCTTGTGTATGAGCTAGTGAAGTTGCGTCATCTGAGTGTTATGTTGTTTGGCTTTCTGATACTTTCATTTTTCAGAATTCAATTGTGTTGATATCTTCTGTTTCCCATTCTAAATATTCTGGTTCAAAAATGAATTCGCAGGTGCAAATGGGAACTCGAAGCAGAGCAGAAGTGAGAAGAAAAGTAGGAAGGCAATGTTGAAGTTGGGCATGAAACCTGTTACTGGCGTTAGCAGGGTCACCATCAAGAGAACCAAAAATGTAATATTTTTCTAGTAGTCTTTTCATGTTGTTAACGACCCTGTTTGATGGATTACAGTTACCTTAAATTCCTCTTTGTTTCAGATACTATTTTTCATCTCAAAACCTGATGTCTTCAAGAGCCCGAATTCTGAGACTTATATCATATTTGGTGAGGCCAAGATGGAGGATTTGAGCTCTCAGCTGCAGACACAGGCAGCACAGCAGTTCAGAATGCCAGATATGGGATCAGTGATGGCAAATTCAGACACCTCTGCTGCAGCTGCTGGAGCACAGGCAGATGAGGAAGAAGAAGAAGTTGATGAGACTGGAGTGGAGCCTAAGGACATTGATTTGGTTATGACACAGGCTGGTGTGTCGAGGAGCAAAGCTGTCAAGGCTCTCAAAGCTCGCAACGGAGACATTGTTAATGCTATTATGGAGCTCACTACTTAAGTGTGATATGCAGTCTTTTGCGTTTTGAGTCTTTCTTTCTGTGGATGAGTTTTTCAAACCAATATTAACATTTTAGTTTTGTAGTTGAACTGGTTTACCATTCATTTGGGTGGCAAAATTCAGGTTTCATAATCATATTTTGGACAATTCTGTAACGGCTCTTGATTAATTTCCACGATTAATTTCTTATCGTCTTTATTATTTGCGACAGTTGATTGGAGTTAAATAGTTAACATCTGACTTCTTAGTCCAGATAAATTTGCTCTCTAGCTGTTGATCACCCTACAGTTGGACCGAATTTCCCCTGCACTTCCTGTTAAGACACCAATCTGCCCCATCTTTACCATTGCAGCCGCAAATTTAGCCTTCCAGGCCTGTGGACTCATTGCATTTTGGTTCACTTGGTTTGCTGTTGCTGTGTCTGTCAGCAGAGTCTGATCCGATGTGAACAATCCTCGGTTTGCCAGGACATCAACATAGTACCCGGCGTCTATGACGTTTGGATTGGAAGGCTTCATGGGTACCACCAAATTAGGATCTGTACTACCTGCTGGACATTGCTGCTTCAACGTAGCTGCATAACTCGCATCCAAACTTGGGTCCTGCTTTGATGTCCCACTGAAATTATACAATCTGTTGCTGAAGGAAGTGCAGTGAGACCTCCCAATTGTGTGTGCTCCTGTTCATCATTTGTTACGTTGATTAAGTAATACCATCAAGAAAAATTGCTGAAACCCAGAAGATCAGCGATGGTGATGTCTTACCTGAAAGAGTAACCATTTCTTCCTGAGTTAATCCCTTGTTTGCAAACAACTGAGTCAGTTGGTTTACATTGAACGTCGGAGGAGGCAGGTTTGTTGCGGTATCTGAAGCTAGGGAAACTCCACCGTCTCTTCTTCCAGCCGGCACATCGTAGCCAAGTCCTCCAACCTGCACAGAAAAATTCGAAAGATTCATAAATCTGTACAGGGATAATAAACTAGACAAGAAGCAGAATTGGGTTCGGACTTCGAATCTTACAATCTCGACACTGTCTCTAGCAGCAAACGCAACTATATCAGCACAGGAAACTACTCCTTTACACATTGCTTCTAGTCTAGCCTTTGCTTTGTCTATGACTTCAAACCCTCTGAGGCTAGGGTTATTTGCAGGGGAGTCTTTCTCCGCCGTGTTGGATGAAGTAGAATCCAGAAGCACCGATGCATCGCAACCCTAAACACAAGTAAACAGATCTTAACTTCACATGCAAGTAATTAAATCTAAAGGCAACGTAATTGACGTTCTTAATCACTTACCCTAACGAAGCAATCATGAAAGTGCATCCTCACAAGCCCAGCAGCCACTCCTCTGTCTTTCATAAACCCATTTCTAACCTCTTGCTTAACAATGAATTCAGCTAGGCCGCACGTGCTTGTGTAAAACCCAACTTGAAGCTGAGAATGGACACTTCCCCAAACCAGGAAGATGACCAAAACTGTCAACACTCTACTAGGCTTCATTGGACTCGTTTCTCTAAAAATTTTGTGTAATATCTAGTGCATGCCCAGAGAACATAACTATGGTTATATTTATAGTTGAAGAATAGTTTTTTTTTTTTTAATATAATGAGTTCCTTCAAACCTTCCCATCCACAATAGGTATAGACCAATCTCTACCTAAGGGTGGCGGATTATAATCAAAGAAAAATGATTTGTTATAATCCACATGGTTGCATTATCCATGATAATTTTATCTCGAAGGATTAATAGAAATGCCATGTGAGAAGTAGGCAGAGTAGAATGTCAAAGACGGAGACTGATTATGGGTCCTATTCAAGAAAATAGAAGAAAGGACAAGAGGAGTTGGTCTGATACCACTTTGGAGGTGTATTTTTATTCTATTCTAGTCAATGGATTTTGCGGGATATGTGGGGAAGGGATAATTAGCAGTGTTTAAAATTAATTAGTTGACTCAAATTCAAGAAAATTCAATGATAGTTGTTAAATATGTGTATTATATGGTTTCATAATGTATGCCAGCTGAAGAGGGCTCAGAACTAGATGTGATGGTTCTTTTTAATTTGGTTGATTCAGATATATATATATATTTTTGACAGGACAATAATTAAAGGTTAATAAAATTAAAATTGTTACTGGGAGCTATTGAACTTAAATAAGGGTGCAATTCACCGACTGTTCTTTTGGGTAACAACGGTTCTAGTCACAACGAAAGAATGTGAAAAATGATGAAAATTGAACTCCACATCCAAAGTAAAATATTTTTTAACCAATCATTAAGTGACAATTTGGATCACACGGGGCTTCTTATAAACTTTAATTTGGATCACACAGGCTTCTTATAAACTTTTATTTGTATGTTTTTACTCGTAGAATCACCGTACCAAACAATTAGGTAGGATTTTGACAATACTGAATTATAATGAACTGAATTTTTTATGTTAATGTCAGTTTACATTTTATATTTTGTAC